GGAAGCAACAAGTCAAAATAGAATACACAAAGAACTACTATGAAATTAAATACAGGTCTAAACTACGGACAACCTATCAAGGAATTCCACAGGGCTTTATACTAGGCCCCCTGTTTTTCTTAACATATATAAATTCATTTCCCACCAATTTTACAGAAGACCTGTATAATGTTTGCAGACGGCACAACAATCATCACACCAACAGTAAAAATCCAGAACTTCAAAAATCCAAAACTAACAAAACCCTGCAAATCTCTACAGCTATTTGCAACGAAATACACTTAACAATAAATAAACAGAAAACAATAGTAATAAACTTCAAACATACAAACCATAACAATGAAATTTTAACTGCAGATGAAAACTCACAAACTAACACTAAGTTTCTTTGGATAATATTGGACAAAAACCTAACATGGCATGATCACCTTTTAAAACTAGGTGAAAAATTGTCACAAGTTGTATATGCGTTAAGAAGAATTAGAAGCCTAACAAACAAAGAAATCACTATAACTGCTTATCATGCAATTTTTTCATCACATATCAGATATGGCATCATAGCCTGGGACTCTGCAGATGAAATCCACATCAAGAAAATAATAACCTTACAGAAGAAAGCAATTCGAATATAGAACAAATCGATCAAGATGAACCACAAACCCACTGCAAACTTCTTTTTATCGAAAACCGAATCCAAACTGTAATCTCCCTTAACCTTTTTGAAACTATTACCTCAATCAACTCAAATCCTCCCCAACTCCGAATTCAATGTCATAACTACAACATCAGAAACAAAGCAAACCTAGACTTAGGGTACCATAGGCTAAACAAAACCAGCAAAACTCCAAACAACATGGGGATCAAAATGTTTAATCTCTTGCCAAAAAAACTCAAAGAAATAAGTGAAAATAAAACTTTTAAAAAACAACTCAAACAATACCTAATTGAACGACAATATTTATAAATTAATTGACTTTATTAACGAACACAAATATAACCTAAACAACAAATAGGAAAGCAAGGCTCAAGTACCTACACTCTCACACACATCCACTTTCACAAGAAATCTTGACGATTCCCCTGTCTACGAGGACGGCGGAGAAGACATCAATGGTAAATGCTACTTATTTAATACGCAAGCAGGTTTTTTGTGACAATTAGGCCTACTCCTCCGAAACTACTGAACCGATTGACGTGTTTTGGTGTCATTGGAAAGGGCGTAATGTGAAGTTGTGCAGGAAATTTTCTATGGAAATAATTTGAAAGTGAGGCCCTGGGGTCCTTTAAAGTTTCATATTCCTCCATAAGATTAACATGGGAAACAAACATTGTTATGAAACTCCAGCTTTTGTCAGAAATTAAAAGTGAGAAGAAGAACATATGTTAATGTAAACAGTCAATAAGTTTGCTAATTTAACAGTTTGCTACAAACATTTACTGACTTAGTTGAAATTAAATAATTACTATTAGAATTTGGGTTGGCGTAAATGTTACAATAGTAAAAAGCAAGAGAGCTTGGATAATTTGATATAGGCTACTACAAAGAAAACTGAATTAACACTGTGCTGCATTTCTTAGTAATCATTGAAAGAGCAAACTATGGAAACATAGGAAAGTCATAGAACACAACCAAGGAAAAGAAAATAGAATTAATGTTTTTTTTTAGAATTTATAATCGTTATTGAACAACCTAATGCGGGTATGAGTAAGGCTATTTGTAGAAAACACTAAAAATAAGATCAGCTTTTGAAAAATGATAAGATATTTACAAGAAATGTTGATTATATTGATCTGTTATGTACATCTTGAGTATTTCCATCATCTTTGAGTAAAATCTTTTAAAGTCATCGGAAATTATGACTGTTAAATTAGTTAAATTAGATGTTTTAAAATAACACAGCTGTAATACTTAGCAATTGCTCGAATTCGAGCAACCGGTACACCAGTAGGAAATACATATGCCAATTTTAAGGGAATAATTTAGTGGAATTCCACTCAGATATATGGAAATTTGCTTAGTCTGCAGGTTTGCTGCAGCGGGGGTATTTTTATCTTGCAAGAAGCTGAGAAAAGTCAAGGATTTTCTCACCTACAGATATGTATTTATATGTATATAGATATGTATGCAGTATGTATTTTTTTCAACAGTAACACCTGTCATTATATTTCACCCCTTCCCATGGTTAAGGATGGATTCATAGAGTTCTGGTCTATATGACCATATGCAACTCACGTACAAAAAATGTGTGGACTCCTTATAGTCTAGTGAAAAGAGGTCTGTTAACTTACAAACGTTCCGGTAGTTCTAAATTTTTTATATGTTGTCTAGGATCTGTTTAAAATACAATATGCACAATTCTCCCCCATCCGCGCCAGCCGCCTTATTGGAAAAATCGAAAAATCTGTACCGGTACTTTCTAGAGATTTTCTCATATCTCCGTTTTGGTGCATTTGGCAAAAAAACATGTAAAGGCAATGTTGTAAACAGTTAAATTACCTATAATACAAGTTTAACAATTAGTTTCTGGGACTTATTGATACCAAAATATTAAACTTTTTTAACAAATCAAATTTTTTGATATTTTTCCAAATTTCTAACTTTAGGCCTAGATAGCTGTAATTCAGTAACAGCCTAATCTAGAAAAAGTATAACAATCAAATTTATAGAGAATTTAATTAACTACAAAATGCTTCTATTTATTTGGGGCTAAAAAAACAAACAAAACAAATTAAAAGAATTGGTCTATTTTTTCACTTTTGTGACTTAAAAATTGTAGAGGGCAGATTTTTTATTTTTCCGCATGCACTTTCCACCAAAAACTGTCATTGGGTACGGGGCTAACTCATACTTTAGGAGTTTAGAGACATCTTCATCACTTTTCTTGCTGATAAGTGAACTCTGGGAAATCGTCAATAATGTAGCTCAAAACCTACTACTGACTTTTTTTTGCATTGGGTTAAGATGGTTTACATAACTATTACCAATTTAGACCTTAAATATACTTATATTTGGACTAAACTATTAATAAGAAACCATACAAATCATACAATGATAGGCCTAAAACAACAGGACTTTGCAATTATTCGTGTAAATCAAGATTTTTTTCTTTAATCCTAAAAACGCTGTAACTTTTGACCTACATCATATATAAATTACGTATGTGTATATATAAATGAAGAAAATTTAATTATCTACAACTTTTGATCTCTGAAAAAATAACAAGTAAGGAGAAAAAAATAAGATTTTAACAAAAAATTTAGGTGAACAATTATTTCCGAACATTATATCTTTTTGAGCGCGGATATCTCTAAAACTAATGATTTTGACAACAAAACGAATCACATTCATGTCCAAGGTTAACTCATTAACTTACATCATAGGCCCTATACTCAGCAGAGTAAGAGTAGAAGTAAATCAATACTAGACCTACAGTAAATATCAACAACCATGACAGCAAACAAAAAACATCTGATGAAATATTATGATAGATTAAAACATGATACAAATAAACAAAAAGTAATGTAGCCTGTGGATGAAAAAGAAGGGAATTTTAATTATAAGTTAAAGTTTTTTTAATAATCTGAAGGTCTCCCTTAGTCCTAAGTGTAAATTGTTACATATATTTTTATATAATTAGTCTCTTACATAGCTGAAAATCAGCTCACGGAGCTCACGTGATAATCTAATACTTTTTACAGAAAGAATTGACTTAGCCTAATGAATTTAGTGAAAGCATAGCAGGGCCTAAAGTTTACTGAAATATTATGAGCAAATAGTTGGTGTAACAAGAATACATGGTATGTAGTACAAGACAGAATGAACTATACTTAAATATAGAAACAGTCAAAAGCATTGGGATGGAAGATGTAATCTTAATTTAGGGAAAGTAATTTGATGAAATAAAGATTTACCTTGCCTTATGATAACGCCTCGGGGGAAAGAGAAGAAGAAGATGAAGATATAGAAAAGAAAAGAACAATTGTTCTTGTTGTTCTCTCTCCAATATTCAGTACAAAGGCGAACAGTGAACCAAAATATTGAAAAATATTTGCTCTTCTTAGATCATTGGCTATGACTGATTAAGAAATTATAAAATGAATAATGACTATCCTTCACCAACGAGCACAGCAATATTGTATTTGTATATTATTTAGTAGATCTTTGTATTAAAACAATGATCCCAATATTAGTCATTGATTGTGTACATTTATATAGCTAACAAATTGTAAACTAACAAAAAACTTTTAAGAAAGCAACCATATTCTAGTGTACATCGAGGCTGCCTGGTCTATTTAACCGAAGCCTGCAAAGTAAACTAGAGAAAAATAGTTATTTGTGTAACTAGTGAGCAAAGTAGCACTTTGCTGCACACGGCGGCTCGTGCGGAATGTATTTCGAATGCAGCAACGAAAATGATCATAAACTATTAACACGAAATGACAGGTTAAATCGTAGTTATTATAATAGTCAATCAGCTGATCATAGTATAATTATTATTTTTAAGTGTTGCCAACCTATTTCCAAGCGTTCACGGAATACGTGCATAATAAAACCACGCTTTTTTGTGTTGTTTGTTTGGGTTGGAATCCTGATGTCTGCCAAAGTATAAACCGTACGGCAAAAGTAAAAAAAGGTACGACAAAGTAAGTAAATACAGAAATAATTAGCAGTTTTCTGTACTATAAACAGTGCAAGGAAGCCAACTTGGTCGGGTGACTGTAGCAAAAGAAATCAGACTAATCTTATCTTCGAAAATTTAATTAAATGAGTTTGTTTAATAATATTGAGTGTACTAGTACTAATAATATCGTTCGTTGTTGATATAACGTTTGGAGTTAAGCATACTTTTATTAGTAAGGAAATAAAATAATTCAACGTTTGATTTTTACAAAGACAGCCAATCCAAGAAAATGGTATTTAACTTTTTTGCAGACAAGAATCGAATCAAGAAGAAGAAGAAACTGAGAATTTTTGTTTTATTATTTATTGTTTGTAGAATTTCATCAGTAGGGATTCTTGTGATCGAAAAATCTAATTAAGGACTGGGATAAACATATTTTGCTGGAAACCTACCTCTTTCAACCCTATTATTCTGTGTGTATATATAATATGTATGTATAAGTGTACATTCCATTAATACGATGAAATATAACGACATTGCATTTGTTTATTTTACGTTCCACTGTCTGCCAAGCACTGCTGGAGCTGTATTGTAGACATCCGACTGCTTTTGATTTGGATGCGATGTCTTACTTTAGTAATTATTGATTTGTTTACACGTGATTGATAGGTGTGTGAATTAATTCAGCAATTCAAACTCCAGGAAACAGTGGACAATTTGTGTTTTAATGTAGCTATGACGTCTATGCTTCCCTTTACACCCCCTATTGTTAAACGTCTCCTAGGCTGGAAAAAGGGAGAAGTCGAAGATAAGTGGAGTGAAAAAGCTGTCAAAAGTTTAGTAAAGAAACTAAAAAAAACCAACGGACTAGAGGACTTGGAGAAGGCTATAACTACACAAGATCCCAATACCAAGTGTATAACAATCCCAAGGTAATGTTCAGTCAAAAAAATTCAGCCTATCCTACAGCATGCAACATTGTTGTTCAGTAGATTTTATGTTTTGTTTGCTTATTTTCAATACCTATGTCAGTCACATCTATTCATACAAAGTAACTTACCGTATGAGAATTTTGGTTCACCGGGATGTAGTGAACGATGCTGTAATCTGGCAAATAACAGGTCTATACCTACATATTAGGTAGCCTAGGCCCTAGTTTGTGATATGATTAAAATATTTCAAACTAGGCCTATTAGTAGGGGATTGAATGTAAATACTGATTTTCTGTTTACTCAAGGGTTTAACTTATTAAAATAGAGTGTTGACCGCCACTCTTTTACAGTGATGCTGCGGTGTTTGGGTTAGGTTAGTTTAGTTCAGCTTAGTTTTTGAAACCGCGTCCGGTAATCGGACGTGGGTTAGGCGTCTGGCAGTGATGTCACGGGGTTGTGGGGGCCCGGAACACCATTAACTTGAAACCACGACGATACGAAGTGCAGCCAATCGGTGTTCGTGTTGTATTGGATGGAGTAGGCTACTTGGCTGATGTCCAAGAGTATCAGATCGAATCCAATCAGTGACACTAACTTTTTGTCAAAGATTTTGCTTAGAATGTGATTTATTCTTAACTCTACCAGTACATCAGTTGTTAGAATTTGAGGGATTAATAATTTTTTTTTATCAACATTTAATTTAACCTTCATTCGATTTCTTCATTAGGCCTATCAGCAAGTTTGGTTAAGTTATGACAGTAACTGCCGGTGCCTAATTTACGTCCGGATACCGGATGCGTATCCTCTGCCTTTTGAAACTAATAAAAAAAAATAAGTTAGTATGAATGAGAATTGGCGTCTTTGTAGATTGATCTCATCAAATTACACAATAGGCCTAATAGGTTATAGGCTATTTAAACATTTTTACTATCACAAAACTAACCTAATTTACCCGGCGCAGCACACTGTGAAAAAAGTCTTCTTGAAAAACTTGCAATAAGTTACGGTACATTATTATTCAAAACCATCCGATATGATTTAAATATCAATCTAAGAGGCCTATTTTATCCAGATAATGAAAGGTTAAATACTTATTGTACTGTTGGTGTTCCGTAATTAGTCAGCGACCAAGGGTTCGGACCTAAAAGGTTTATTTTCAAGCTTACAACCAAGTCAAAAATCCTCTTAATCCCTGGGGTTGTGAAGATCATCAAATAACACATATCCGAACACAAAACCTTGATAAACCTTCCATCGGGCGCATCATGGAAGTTACCTCCAGGTCACTATTTTTTTCGTTATAAAAACTATAGTACCGTATGTGTTCGGCAGGGCTGTCGCTTGATTTATCTCACAAACCTCTTTTGCGGAATTGCTTTTGTCTCCTCTTACTCCGTTCCCAGTTGTCAGTCGACTTTGGGTAGTGGTTCGCGTCACTACTGGAAGTAGCTTCCGAATGCGCCCTGTGATGTAACGGGTTTCTTGGAGCCTAGTTCCGTGTGTACCCTTGTGTTTGAACTTATTTAGCGATATTATTAAATGGATGAAAAAGAACAAATTGCGAGATTGTTGGCTAGTGTTGAAAGGGAGGACAGGGAACAACATTTAGTGATAAGACCTAATGGTGTGTTTGTTCAGGAACTTGTTTTCAAGAAAAAGAGCTTCTTGGTACTCAGGTTCTTAAGTTTATTACCAGTTATCTTCTATCTTTGTGGTAACTGCCAAACAAGTTAAGAGCACACCCTCTTGTGGTACTCAGGTTCTTAAGTTTGTTACCAGTTGTCTTCTATGTTCACGGTAACTCCTAAACAAGTTAAGAGCACTCCCTCTTGTACTCAGGTTTTAAGTTTGTTTCAGATAAGGCATGCCATGGCCAGTAAAATCCCTTCTAGAACCGAGCAGAATGCTTGACTTCAGGCCTTAACTTAGTATTAGGTCTTAACTTAGTATTAGGTCTTCTATTTTCTCTATGAATTGCAAGCACAACGTGATGATAGCTCATCAATCCACAACAGGATGACACTTATCATGCCTGAGACAGTTATGTTTTCAACATTTTTTTAAAATTATAATACAGTAGACCTATTCCTTTATGTTATTGTAGTTTCCTGCATGCTAGTTGAGCTTTGTTCGATAATATTTGTTCAATAAGACTGTTGGACCCCTCTTAGTGAATGATGTGTGTCATGGGTAAGTTTATTACCTTAATGACTATTTAGATATCTGACTTGTAGTGCTGTAGTATTCCTTAACACAGTTGCTGGAATTTACTCAGTCATCGTAGACTGAGCTATCGAACATCATTGTAAGTTTTTCGGTGCTTCCATTCTTGACTAAGATTGTGTTGTCATCTGAAGTCTTAATTGCACTGTTTGATTTTTGGATGTACTCTTGGATGTAATTAACAGTGATTTTTATATTATAAGTAATTAAGAATAATCTTAAGAATCCTGGCAGGTTTTCTAAATAAAACTCAGTTAGGGGGAAAGAAACAGATGATGGGGTTTATTAAGTTATTAAGGTTATTAAGAGTTAACCTAATTAGAACTGTGGGCTAGACAGGATGCTCCCGGTAGTAAGGCCTATCATCTGTAGTAAGGATAAGGGCATGATAGAATAATATAGCTGTTAAGTATAAAAGATATCGCTGAAATTTCTTCTTTTTTTCAGCTTGCGGACAGACAAAGGTGACACAGGAAACTGCCGGTGAGTAAAATGTTACTTTTTTGTGTTATACCATTTTGTCTACTTGCACAAAAGAATATATCACATACATGAAACACCTAAATATTGTGATACCATTTGATATCTCTAACAAAACCTTGCCAAATGGTATTGATCAACTCTGGAATTTGCTTTGAACAATGACTGTTAGTTTTGTAAAATAGCTTCTTTCTGTATCCTACAAGGCCTACTAGTTGATAAGCTTAACAATCACAATTAATGTCAATCAAATGCAATTTTCCAAATAATCATTAATTTTTTTATCACACCCCTATGCCCACCAGGAATAATAATAATAGGCCTACTAATAATAATAATAACAGGAATAATAAATGGCTAGGTAGCTTAGTGAAGCCTAACAATCAATAGATCACCAGTTTGATCACAACGAAAGTTTGTAGCTTATTGATGGTTCGAAAACTGCTGTTCCTGATCATTGGGGCTTTACTAAATGATCCTGACTGATGAAACAGCTTATCAGCCTGTGCAGCTTACAGCTTCGTGTCAGTAAGGGCCCTTTCACACGAGGCCACTATGGTGGCGGCCACCGGTGTCCGCCACCAGTTACCGGCCGGGAAACTGCAGTGGACGATACAGGCAACTTACAAACCACTCTACTGCAGCCACTGTACAATGGCAGTTGTGAGAATGCTGTCAAACAATGAACATCTCCTTCCTCTCGCGTTGATATTAAAGAAAATAAGGCAAAAGACACAGGCGTGCTTTACCAAATTGCCAGTTACTTTTCAATTTTGCAAATTTAGATGTTCAGTATCCACTTTGTCTTCTATTATTTTGTATATTCTCTTATTCTGTTGTTTTCCTTTGTCTTTTTCTTTTTCAGCAACGTCCTCTTTATTTTTCTTCTGATCACTCATTTTCACAAACAAACAATTCAACACGAAAACACTCAACAACTACAATAGTGCGTTTGTCTTTGCAGTATGCACGTGAACTGATTCAAAATAGTAGCTGCGCGCTCATCCACGGTGGCGGCCACTAGTTGCTACGTGTGAAAGCTCCCATTTAATTCAATGCCCCGCGACGAGTTGCTGCCACTGCAGTTGCCGGCGGTGGCCGACTAGCAGTTGCGCGAGAAGACACTGCTCGGCCACTGTGTAGTGGCGGGCAACTACAGTGGCTTTGTGTGGAAGGTCCCATTTAAAATAATGTTAAAGCTGTGGCGGGCAACCAGTGGCCTCGTGTGAAAAGGCCCTAACAAAGCTACACAGATCATCCCACACCATTCTACACCCATTCTTCAATTATATCAAATCAATCAATTATTTAAGATGGGGACACCACTATGTGCGTGTGAGTGAATAATAAAATGTGCACCTAGGTGGTGTCTGGTCTCAATTAATTGATTGTTAATTGATAATTAGATAATTGATAAAAAAGGAATAAAATTAAGATGGTCATGGACATGAGCTTGAAATAAAACCTTTATTTATGGCTCAAAAGTAATTGAATCCATACAATAAAAATTCAAAATAGCGAAATAAAGCTAAGTCAATGATTTATTTTCTCATATACCGAAAGTAAATAATAAATTTATATTTTATCCAACCAACCATGCATTTGATTTAATTGGAGAATTTTATACTGTTTTCAAAAATAGATATTTTTTAAATTTCACTATAACTTAGCTGTGTATTATTTTGTATTTTGTTGCAAGATGTTTAATGTGCTTGTTTTTGTAGTAGGTAGATAACCGTATTGCTGTTGATTGTGAAACTAAGTACAAGTTTGAAAATGAATACAGATGTATTAAATTGAAATTAACCCTGGCCAATTGAGTGGATTGGTTGCTTGTTTGATTTCAAGAATTGAAGCAATCAGGACCCAACAGCTATTCGTCAATTACCTATGTCGCTGTTTATTTGTCAATTATGCTTTCTGATACCAGGTGTACGTCAAATTGTAACATGATCATGATTTGGACCTTTCCATGAAAAAAAAAAACTCTTAAAAAATATTACAACTAATTGCAGTGAGAATGCTAAAAACTCAGCTACTGCGACAGGGGTATTTATTGTTTTGGTTGCTTGGTTATTAGTCTTGCTTCTCACTACATTGCTTCCATGGTACCCTTACTGAAAAAATATTAATTGTTTTGGTTACTTGTCTGTGTATTTTATGGTTGTTAAAAACCCAATATTAATGATAAATAATGTAATTGTACTTCTCTAAATAGTATTCAATTGAAATCTTAGGTTTAGGTTTTTGATTTTTAAATCCTTTTGAAAGATTCACAAATTACATTCAAGCCCAGATTATCAACTTTGTTTAAGAATACTCGGTAAAATGCAGATTGTTCAGGTAAAAACTCATTCTGGCTGGAGGATTTAATCATATTAGCCTAGCCTGACCAACACATAAGAATAAAAATACTATACTGCGTAATTTTAGGCCAGCTAGGAATCAATTTCTTACATACCATTGTCAAAAATAGCCTACATGCTCAATACTTCAATGTGCGTTTTGTCCAAAGTCAATATTTTATTAAAATTTTGTTTAGTATCAAGTAAGCTTAATAAAAGCTTACTTTATGTATCGTATAGAGTGAACGTACCAAACTAGAGTTTAACTTAAAACTTTCATGCTTTTAGCTTAGCTAAGCTACGTAAAGTAAATGTTTTACGGGAGGTTTTTTTGGCTAACTCATACTGTTCAGTTGACATTAACAACAAAGTTGACATGCAACGAGATGGAATCTAGGCTATATTTTTATGATGTACCTGAGTTTATTTATAACCAAGCTTGTTTTGGCTATCATTTATCAAATCCACAGTTTTGGCCATTCCTAACTAACATTTGTTCGTTCTTCACGGGATAAGATGATGAAGTCAAATAACCGAGGGAGATATTCAACATTTTGCCGAAATTGCGGCGAGCCTATGATGATGTCCAAACGACGCAGGAGATTCCCACGATTTTGCCGCGAACAGAAGACAATAAAGATATCAATATTACCCTGGGAGATAATCTATTCCTAAGTTGTTTGTACTAACTAACAGGGCACCATGTACATGAAATTCCATAATTATTGGTATCAGCTGTTTTGGTTTTACTCTGTGGTGGCTGTTTTGTAAACTGTGTATATTTATGTGTAGGACTGTCGACGGTCGTATCCAAGTGTCACACAGGAAAGGTCTTCCTCACGTAATCTACTGCAGATTGTGGCGCTGGCCTGAGGTTCAGTCCCACCACGAACTGCGAGCTATTGACACGTGCTCCTACGCGTACGCTCTCAAAAGAGACGACGTCTGTGTCAATCCCTATCACTACTGCCGGATAGAAGCTCCAGGTAGGTATTCACATTGATATCTGTAGTCATTTTACACACAGTACAACATAGTAACATAGTACACAGCGTTAAGTTTACAAAAAAAAGGAAGGCAGACTTATACTCCTTGCTGTGTAAGTTGTTTCGCTTTATCCTGCATTGTGATCATGGGCCCTGGCAGAGAGTAGCAGGGGGAAATGTTATTCGTAATGTGTGTATCTATGTTGTTTTAAAGTTTGATGAAATTCTGACATTTGGTTTACATTGTGAGAATATTTGAAGTCGTGGCTTTTTGACACTCTTAAAAACAACACTCTTCTGCATTCCGATTGTCATGTTCATTTTTATAAACGAGCTAAAAAATATTTTACCTACGATCGTTTTTTAAAGTAGCAGTTTCAGTTCAGTTCTTAGAATTGAAAAGTTTCACATAACAGCATTTTTTACTTTCATAACGGCATAGTTTTATTCATAACAACAACACGGGAAACGGACCAATGAGATTCAAGGATTGAGAGAAAAGAAGTAAAATTTTAACGATTCAAACTTCAACTAATGTTAGTTAGAGATTATAAAGAAGTATATAGGTTTATTTATAGAAATTATTATTCTTTTTTTGATATGACAATATATTATTATAAAGCAGCTGTTCAGGCCAATTTAATTGTTGAGAGGTGCTATTAGTGTTTGGTACAATGTTTCGTTGCATCACTCTCAGTGGCAATGAGAGGTTATAATTGACAACATAACCTCTCTTAGAAGTGATGAGTAGTGATGTATAGTAATTAAAACACTGTTAAAGGTAAAGTAGTGTAACCAACTCACGTAAAAAGTGTTAACGACACTTGTAGAAGGTTTTGAGGCACTCGCCAAGGCTCGTACCTTAAATTTTCTACTCGTGTTGTTAACACTATCTTTAGTCAATCGTTGTGTAAACTACTATATCTTTACAGGAATGAATACCGTTACTTAGAAATTATAATGATGGAAATTTTTAGTGCACTCATTATTTTTCTAAGTAGCGTGGTTACTTTTATGTATCGCTAGTAACTGGAGTGTTCACACTTGTATTCAAACTGTGTCAAAAGTGAGATTTTTGTCAGAATCTGCCCGCACAACGCAGTGAGGCGCAGCCGGAAAGCCCTTTTGTATAACTCTTAACTTCAGCCAAACTAGGTACACCAGCTAAAAAAAGAAATACTATTTAGAATTTAGCTTCAAAATCAAAATCCACTGTTTTTTAACATAGCTGACCAGAAAAAAAAATAGCCTACGAACTTTTTCTTGTCATATTTCAAAACCCATATAAAAGAATAAAAGAATCAAGTTAAATTTTTAAAATAGAAAATATTAGTTTTTAAGTTTGTTATTAGAACTGTTGAACATGAAGATGATTATCAATATGATAAGCATCACAGTACAAGGGATTTACCCCAGTTTCAACGAGGACAAAAGGTGTGGATCCAAGATCTAAAACGTCAGGGTACAGTAACAAACCTAGCCAATGAGCCAAGATCTTATTGGGTAAATACTGAAAAAAATACCGTTGTAAAAAATATACAGTAAAAAAAATACCGAAACCGATACCGCTTGATTCCGTACAAAAGCCAAACCAGTCCTAAACAATCAGTAAGTATTATAGTACGATTGTTCAGGGAACGCGACAGGCTGAAGGGTCGACCCTACTCACACACACGCAGGCCTCACACACACACACACACGTGCAAGGGATTAGGACGGACCAGAGACCTACCGTGTGAGTCATCACTGGCTAAAAGAAATTTAACTATCAATTTTTTCAATTTTACCTTTGTTATAAAATCGGTTAATGCTTTTGGCTTCAGCTCAAAATGTTAAGTAAAATGATACCAAACAATATATTTTTTGCTTGTAAAATGTAGAAGTTACGAATATTTTTTTCTACTATTTCTTTTCATAATGATTTCGTATTTGGACTAACTTTTCATGGAATTAAACAACAAATTTACCAACACTAAGCATTTTACTTATATCTAACTTAAAATGATTTGCGATTTTGAGGTATCATACAACAGATGTTATATTTCTAGGTAGTGAAGGGGATCGGGGCTTTTAGGCAATTAGGGTGATGGTAAGTGTGCGTGCGTGAGTTGGGTCACTCGCAGGTAGGGCCGAGCTCCAGCAGCTTTCAGTTAAAAATCAGACTATACTCCACTTCCTTTCTCAAAAATAACGATCAGTCTCCGCAAACTTCTGTAACTTATACAATGAACGAAGCTTACCCAAAATCCCTACCTCTCAAACCAACAACACTAATCAGAGTAATCAGAAAACACCAAGATCAATCTCTAGAACTACAAGTACACACACTTTCAATACAAGGTTGTTTGTAAACAATAACAATCCTACTTATTCACAACCAAGTCACCAGTCTAATGAAGAAGTTAGAACAAGGTTTGGAAGAATAGTGAAACCTGTGAAAAAATGCGAGGGGAACTAAAAGGGAGGAATGTTGTAATATTAAACAGATGTTATAATTAACATCTGTTGGTTTATTTACTTTGAATTGTTTATATTTTTTATGTTCATTCTTTGTAATTTAATCTAAGTTCAATAATATACTTTTGCATCAAGACTAAATTAGAAATGAATTCTCAATAATTAATACACAATATTAAAACAGAACTAATAGTTTCCAAGACTTATTGACTTCACTCGTACTCAAAGTTTCAACCATTTTCATTTTACCTTTAACACTAATACCGAAACCCTACCTAGGCTGACGTTAACCGAAAACCCCAGTCTGTGAGACCCCATTTGAAAAATAATGGACCCCGCTTTGACACACACAAACCGAAACCTTCGGCCTGTGAGACCCCGCTTTAAAATACACTAACGATGGGCTTCTGAGCCAGGGATGTTATGAACAGACAACCTGTCAAGGTCACGGCACCCATGCAAAATGAACAAACAAAATATCAATAGGTAGGGGAGGAAAAGGGGGGAAGGTATTGGGGGAATGGAATCTTCCAAGTAAACAGTGTTGCCAACATGCGTTTTTGAAAATTCCCGTGGGCCTGTCAGACCGGGGTTTCGGTATTAGTGTTAAGAAGGCTGGATGCAGAGTTATTTGGAAGCGGGGCATTGATTTTTTTGCGCCATCATCATCTATTGTGCTTTATCTTATCTTATGTGACAGTAGTTTATCAAATGAAGTACTAAAAACGACTTTGAGGTAATGTAAAATAAACAGGTTTCAAACTATTGATATATGCCTATAAACAAAATAAAGCATGAACAATTCATAAGGGTTTGCTAAAAAAATGTTTTCAAACTAACATATAGAACCTAGACAGAATATTTTACGAGAAAATAAATGTACACATTTCCTAAAACACAAATTCTTTACTGTAGGAAAACAAACAAATGTAATATGAATGTGAAAAATGAAACACCAATGATAAACTTAGGATTTTTTGAGAGGATAGCAGGCTTACCTGAATGGGAAAGAGTCCAAACTGGCACAGGAAACACAAAACATAACTTTACACTATATACACAAAACATTAGAATATTTCACTGTCACTGACAGCATTTTCAACTAAGGAAGAGAGAGTTTTTTAGATGTCCAAAATGGTGGCCACTGGCCAGTGAGTTGTTGAGTCAGTGTTGCCAATAGTAGAATTCAAAAAACACATTTTCAGTTTATCTTATATGCACTATATATATATGAATAAATATGTAAGCCTGCTAGTTGGGTTGGATTTTGAAGTGGAGTGGGTTAAATGAAAGGTATTATCTAAGGTTTAGGTTTGGGGGTTGTCTAGACTTAGTAAACCATTGGTAGGACAGTTCCCATCTTCTAAGTTGTGACTGGTTACATTGAGGAGGTAGTGATTTGACTATTTTGGTTGTAAAGCAGTCATTGAAACTAGGGTTGTTGTGGCTCTGGGCATGTTGTACAACTGGTTTGTCTTTGTATCCAGTAGATACATCTTGTCTATGGCCATTCATCCTGGTTCTGAGGCTATTGGTGGATAGGCCTACATACTGTGCCTCACATTTGTTACATTGTAGTTGGTAGATAATGTTCTTCGTTTCACAAGTGTTGAAGCCTCGGATGTTGTAGTTTTCTTTGGTTGTGGAACTGGAAAATGTTTGGCTGGGTTGATTTATTTCACATGTTTTACATCTCTTGTTATCACAGGGATATGAACCGTTAGGGCGTGCGTTGTTTGGGTTGTTGTTGGCCGGGTCAGGAACTTTTGGGTGGACTAGTATTTTTCGGAGATTGGGTGGTTGTCTAAAAACAATGTTTGGTGGATCTTTCAAAAAATTGATGGTGTGGTTGGAGGCCTTGAGGATTTTGAAGCCCTCTTTTAAAATGCCATTCAATGAATGTAGTCCTTGGTGGTAGTCCGTGACAAGAGCAATGTTTTTGCTATTTCGTTTTTCATTATTTGGTTGTGGATGGTCTTGCGCTAAGCGGATTTGGTTCTCCACCAGCTTTCTAGGGTAACCCCTTTTTATGAATGCGTCAGATATTTTGTTATTGAACTTGTTTAATTCATCATCGTTGCTGCAGATCCTTTTGCCCCTGATGGCTTGACTGAACGGGATGGATCTTTTGGTGTTCTTTGGGTGGTTGCTGTTAAAATGTAAATACTGTAGATGGTTGGTAGGCTTGAAGTGTACACCGGTTTGTATGAGTCCATCTTGAATATTTATTTCTAGGTCCAGGAAAACTATTGTTGATGTTGAGATGTTGCTGGTGAATTTAAGGGAACTGAAACTGTTAAGGCTGTCAATAAACTGTTTTAAGGAGTCTGAGCCTGAGGTCCACAAGATAAAAATATCGTCTATAAACCGGAACCAACACAAAGGTTGTACTTTTTGTGATTGTAGGAAACACTTTTCGAGTTTCCCCATGAACAGATTTGCGTAGGATGGGGCCATCCTCGTACCCATGGCAGTGCCTTTAGTTTGTAAATAGTTTCTACCTTCAAATTGAAAATTGTTTTTTTCTAGAATGAACTTAGCCATGTTCAGTAGGAAAGAAGTTGAGGGCTTAGTGTTTTTGGGGCGTTGGTCCAGGAAAAATTCTATAGCCGCTAGTCCATGTGTAAGGGGGATGTTAGTGTACAGGGAAGTTACATCTATGGTAGCCAAAATCGTCTCAGGAGGAAGAGGTGTTGGTATGGTAGTCAGCCGTTCTAAGAAGTGGTTGGTGTCTTTAACATGTGAAGGCAATTCTCTGACAAAAGGTTGCAGGTGAGAATCTATATATGCCGAGATTCTTTCCGTGGCAGAATTGCAACTGGCAACTATAGGTCGGCCAGGGGGTGGAAAAACGTTTTTGTGTATCTTGGGCAGTATGTAAAATTGAGGAGTAGAGGGGTTGTCGTTTATGAGTAGTCTTATTGATTCGGGGGATATATTTTGGAGAGGTGCTTCTTTAACGAGCCACTGTGTGAGTTCAGTATTAAAATCTTTGGTTGGGTTTTCATCAATCTCTTTGTAGGTGTCTTTGTCGGATAACTGTTAGTAGGCTTCAACAGTGTAATCTTGTTTGTTCATAATTACAGTGGTGGATCCTTTGTCAGCTGGTAGTATCATAATGTTTCTATTATTTTTCAAGGATTTTAGAGCTGTTCTTTCTCCTGGAGTCAGATTGTCGTTTTTTGGCAGTTTCTTCAAGAAGTTTGGGTCTGTGACAGTTTGCATAATGAAGTTTATGTACAGTTCAATCGGATGATCAGGCGGTAGAGGCGGTGGATCCCAGTTGGAAGGCGGTTTAAACTTCATGAGAGAATCATCGGGTTGGGGTTGGTTTTTTAGGGCGTTTGGAAATTGATGTGTGTGGTACTGTATTCTAAGATTTCTCGCAAATGTGAAAATGTCCTGTCCTAAACTGAAAGGGTCCAATGTGTGAGTAGGAGTAAAGGTTAGGCCTTTAGAGAGCACTGATGTTTCATCCTCCGACAACTCATGCGAAGAGATGTTCATAACCGATTGATCGGAAATGGTAGTTTTAGGGACGGTGTTGCTGTCTGTTTCATCTTCTTTCACTGTGGGCTTTCTGTAGGGGACTTTTGGTAGTAAAGGTAATTGTCCTGTGGGAATCGGAAGATTAAAAATTGTGGCAAGGCTAGGCTTGTCTCCTATCAAAGGTGCGTTTTTTTGGTTTGGAGGTGAACAGTTAGCTTCAATGAATCCCTCATTTCTTAATTTCAACAAGCATAGTTTAGACAGTTTTTTTAGTTTATTCTTTGCTAGATTCTCCTGTAGCTGGTTAGCTTTTTTAACTGTACTGGTCATTTCAGAGATTAGATTAGGGAAATTCGTTATAAGAAGATGGTTGACTGCTTTTAGGCTATTGAGTAATTTGTGTTGTTCAGTTTTGTAGTTTCTCAATGTAATTCTTGTGGCTTCAATGGAGTTTGTTTTGTAAAGTTCTATAAGTTCAGGCCACATGTATTTAGGGGAGCTAGACAAAGGTGGTTTGGAGGTTAGGCCTAGAGGGGCTAGGCCTAGATTAAGGCAAGCTTCCAGAAATAACACATGTGTATTGACTTTGGCCAAATGAAAGGCATCATTCTTCATTTGTTTAATCCAAGATTTGGCAAGAAACATTGTGAAAAGGAATAGGAAAGATGGATAGATAAAAAGGAACACAATAAGGAAGAGAGAAAATGAGTGTTGTTTCAGTTTGAGGTTAAGGGTGTAGCATAGAGCACAAGGGCCTAGATTTTTTAGGATTTTTTGAGAGGATAGCAGGCTTACCTGAATGGGAAAGAGTCCAAACTGGCACAGGAAACACAAAACATAACTTTACACTATATACACAAAACATTAGAATATTTCACTGTCACTGACAGCATTTTCAACTAAGGAAGAGAGAGTTTTTTAGATGTCCAAAATGGTGGCCACTGGCCAGTGAGTTGTTGAGTCAGTGTTGCCAATAGTAGAATTCAAAAAACACATTTTCAGTTTATCTTATATGCACTATATATATATGAATAAATATGTAAGCCTGCTAGTTGGGTTGGATTTTGAAGTGGAGTGGGTTAAATGAAAGGTATTATCTAAGGTTTAGGTTTGGGGGTTGTCTAGACTTAGTAAACCATTGGTAGGACAGTTCCCATCTTCTAAGTTGTGACTGGTTACATTGAGGAGGTAGTGATTTGACTATTTTGGTTGTAAAGCAGTCATTGAAACTAGGGTTGTTGTGGCTCTGGGCATGTTGTACAACTGGTTTGTCTTTGTATCCAGTAGATACATCTTGTCTATGGCCATTCATCCTGGTTCTGAGGCTATTGGTGGATAGGCCTACATACTGTGCCTCACATTTGTTACATTGTAGTTGGTAGATAATGTTCTTCGTTTCACAAGTGTTGAAGCCTCGGATGTTGTAGTTTTCTTTGGTTGTGGAACTGGAAAATGTTCCAACCAAAGATTTTAATACTGAACTCACACAGTGGCTCGTTAAAGAAGCACCTCTCCAAAATATATCCCCCGAATCAATAAGACTACTCATAAACGACAACCCCTCTACTCCTCAATTTTACATACTGCCCAAGATACACAAAAACGTTTTTCCACCCCCTGGCCGACCTATAGTTGCCAGTTGCAATTCTGCCACGGAAAGAATCTCGGCATATATAGATTCTCACCTGCAACCTTTTGTCAGAGAATTGCCTTCACATGTTAAAGACACCAACCACTTCTTAGAACGGCTGACTACCATACCAACACCTCTTCCTCCTGAGACGATTTTGGCTACCATAGATGTAACTTCCCTGTACACTAACATCCCCCTTACACATGGACTAGCGGCTATAGAATTTTTCCTGGACCAACGCCCCAAAAACACTAAGCCCTCAACTTCTTTCCTACTGAACATGGCTAAGTTCATTCTAGAAAAAAACAATTTTCAATTTGAAGGTAGAAACTATTTACAAACTAAAGGCACTGCCATGGGTACGAGGATGGCCCCATCCTACGCAAATCTGTTCATGGGGAAACTCGAAAAGTGTTTCCTACAATCACAAAAAGTACAACCTTTGTGTTGGTTCCGGTTTATAGACGATATTTTTATCTTGTGGACCTCAGGCTCAGACTCCTTAAAACAGTTTATTGACAGCCTTAACAGTTTCAGTTCCCTTAAATTCACCAGCAACATCTCAACATCAACAATAGTTTTCCTGGACCTAGAAATAAATATTCAAGATGGACTCATACAAACCGGTGTACACTTCAAGCCTACCAACCATCTACAGTATTTACATTTTAACAGCAACCACCCAAAGAACACCAAAAGATCCATCCCGTTCAGTCAAGCCATCAGGGGCAAAAGGATCTGCAGCAACGATGATGAATTAAACAAGTTCAATAACAAAATATCTGACGCATTCATAAAAAGGGGTTACCCTAGAAAGCTGGTGGAGAACCAAATCCGCTTAGCGCAAGACCATCCACAACCAAATAATGAAAAACGAAATAGCAAAAACATTGCTCTTGTCACGGACTACCACCAAGGACTACATTCATTGAATGGCATTTTAAAAGAGGGCTTCAAAATCCTCAAGGCCTCCAACCACACCATCAATTTTTTGAAAGATCCACCAAACATTGTTTTTAGACAACCACCCAATCTCCGAAAAATACTAGTCCACCCAAAAGTTCCTGACCCGGCCAACAACAACCCAAACAACGCACGCCCTAACGGTTCATATCCCTGTGATAACAAGAGATGTAAAACATGTGAAATAAATCAACCCAGCCAAACATTTTCCAGTTCCACAACCAAAGAAAACTACAACATCCGAGGCTTCAACACTTGTGAAACGAAGAACATTATCTACCAACTACAATGTAACAAATGTGAGGCACAGTATGTAGGCCTATCCACCAATAGCCTCAGAACCAGGATGAATGGCCATAGACAAGATGTATCTACTGGATACAAAGACAAACCAGTTGTACAACATGCCCAGAGCCACAACAACCCTAGTTTCAATGACTGCTTTACAACCAAAATAGTCAAATCACTACCTCCTCAATGTAACCAGTCACAACTTAGAAGATGGGAACTGTCCTACCAATGGTTTACTAAGTCTAGACAACCCCCAAACCTAAACCTTAGATAATACCTTTCATTTAACCCACTCCACTTCAAAATCCAACCCAACTAGCAGGCTTACATATTTATTCATATATATATAGTGCATATAAGATAAACTGAAAATGTGTTTTTTGAATTCTACTATTGGCAACACTGACTCAACAACTCACTGGCCAGTGGCCACCATTTTGGACATCTAAAAAACTCTCTCTTCCTTAGTTGAAAATGCTGTCAGTGACAGTGAAATATTCTAATGTTTTGTGTATATAGTGTAAAGTTATGTTTTGTGTTTCCTGTGCCAGTTTGGACTCTTTCCCATTCAGGTAAGCCTGCTATCCTCTCAAAAAATCCTAAAAAATCTAGGCCCTTGTGCTCTATGCTACACCCTTAACCTCAATGATAAACTTAGTTGTAAATAGTGATTTGTTGGTACTTAAAGGTTAAAAGTGATTCTCGCTACCACCTGTACGAAGAACCGACGTAAAAATGTCACTACGGATAATTAAGTAGGCCTACGTACCAATAGGGGATGGGCCTATTGATATTACAATCCAGCGAAAGCAACGCAATAGTGGTATGTCGAAAGCAAAATCAACACATGGGAAAAGCGATTTTAGCAGCATCTCTGTTACGATCACAATGACATCGGACATCGTAAAGATCACCTGAGATCTATGTATCTTAATGCAGTATTATCACATTATCTTTTTGCAGTTCTCCCTGCTATTCTGGTCCCTCGGGTGAACGGAGAGTCCAGCGTAGACAGCCTGGGTGTGGGTGGTGCTGTAGAGTTGGTAGAACACATTGCGTCTCCTCCCACCAACACATCAGCTCCACCCCTGTCTCACCCACTCACCACCTTCGCCCTGGAGCCAACAACCAACCGCCCTCCCACCGAGACCCCTCCCCCTGGGTACATGTCAGAGGATGGAGACAACATGGATCATAATGACAACCTAAGTAAATACATTTGACAAACGAGTAGAAACTAAATACCTAAAGCACTTTGTAACTTTTGACAAAATAAAAATAAAAAAATAGGAAACATTCTTGTCTTCCTATTTTGGTGATTTAAACCAATGTTTAAGAATTTACAATTGAGTTGTACGCTATTTAAGAACAGTTAATGAAAGGTAGAACCAGACATAGTGAAGATTGTGAAACACAGTGGGGACTATTTGCCTGAAGTCTGGGAGACCACAACTAATTATGTTCAAATTATCGGTACTTACCTAATATACCAACCAGACCTAATAATTATAACCTAACCTAACGATGGGTAGGTTGGATTCGGTTAGGAATATTTTGCTAATTAAACTAATTGAAATATTTGGAAGTCGATTTATCGGTGTGGTCAGTATATACAGTGTGTAAATTAAGTATCGAAACAAATCTGTATTTTTTAAACCGTAATAGGTGAAATATCTACCTCGGGTTTGCGTCGCTGTATTTCTTTTGACAAACCCTTCAAAATGAGGGGTCTTTCAATAGAGGTTGCTATTGGAAAAAAATAAGTCACCTCTACCATATCACTACTTACTACTACTTAGGCGGGTTAAACAATTTTTTTGGTGAAAAAAGTTGCGGAACCTTTGTTAACAATCAATGCCAAAAACAGAATATTTCTAAGGTTTAAAAAATACAGATTCGTTTCGATACTGAATTTACACACTGCATAATAGATAGCCCTAAGTAAGCACCAAATTTAAATTATCTAATATTAACACAGATTGCAAAAGTAGAGTTTTAAAATGGTACACATAACATGTTATTGTTGCTATCTTAGCCTAGGCTAATAAAATAGGTATTTTATTAAACTATTGGCTTTTTTCTGTATGATATGAGATATAACTGGCTTAGGTTTAGGTTAGCCGTCATATTCGGCTGCCTTGGTGGCCTAACAGACAAAGCAGTGTATTAATTGGAATGTAAAGGTTTTATTGAGGATTATTTTTGGCAAATGGATGCCATGGAGGTTTTTAAAAAAAGCTCAACCGGACTCCAATCTCCAGACTGTTGTCCAGAACCAGGGCTGCACCCCAGTATTAACGTGATGAATTTTAACTTATTGGCCATCTTCTGTGGTTGAAGGACAGTGATGTAGACTTTAGTTTTAGATTGATGAAGGAATATTCCACACAGACTTGTATTGTTAATTAGCTTGACTCAAAGATGTGTTACTACGTCACATATTCAAAACATCAGCCAGCATTTTCGCCTGTCCGCTGATACAAATATTTCTCATCTCCTGAAGATCAAGAGTCAGCAAGTTTGACTCAAATAAATTTACAGTGAGGCGCATATTTGGTCACTACTACAGAGTGTTATGTTTTGTAGGCATGAGCCCAAGCCCAGCATTAGACCCACAGCCAGTCATGTACTGCGAGCCAGTATTCTGGTGTTCCATCAGCTACTACGAACTCAACACCAGGGTAGGAGAAACCTTTCACGCTTCGCAGCCTTCTATCTCAGTCGATGGATTCACAGATCCTAGCAACTCGGAGAGGTTCTGCCTCGGTCTTCTGTCTAACGTCAACCGCAACACAGTAGTCGAGCAGATTCGTAGACATATCGGCAAGGGGGTCAGGCTCTATTACATTGGTGGCGAAGTGTTTGCCGAGTGTCTTAGTGACTCTTCTATCTTCGTGCAATCCCCTAACTGCAACCAACGTTACGGCTGGCATCCGGCGACAGTCTGTAAAATCCCTCCAGGTAAATAAATCAAAATATCACTTATTTTGCATATGAATTTACATATTAGTAATATGTATATGTATATACCGTATACTATGATATTACCTCATTTAAACTCTGTACAAAATTACAATACTATTTAGTTCTGTAAATATTATAATTATTTTTTGGTAAAAACACTTTAAAAATTTAATTAAGTAAACTTAATTCCTTTAGAGGAAAATGTATTCCTGTGTGTGGAAGAGAGTCATTTTATTTTTGGAGATGAAATGATTTTACATTTGTAGATGAAAAAGGGTTTTGAAACGTGATAGGTGGTTGATATGACATTATTTGAAAACTGGACAAACGGTAGACTCCTCCCCCCTCCCACGTTCTTTCCCCAAAAAAATAACCGACCTCCTTCCTAATATACACACACACTTGCAAACACACATACATACTCACTGCTTCCTCGTCCCAACACCAACAAGCCTATGTGTACTTACTGTAATATCCGCAATATTAAAAATAAGAATAATCTAAGTTACTAACATTTACGTATCCACAGTTCTAACAGTAGTCTAACTAAATAAAACAATTTAACTGCAAACAATTGTTTATTATAACGAGTAAAAGAAAAAGAAAAAAGTCTACTTGGCTTTAGTTTTTATATAAGATGAGAAAGCAAGGTAAATTATGGAATGATCAAATGACACACAGTTCTAAAACTAGATTCTAGACTTGTGTCCCACTGCACACAATTGTAATTTGTGTTGTGAATCGTGTGCTTTCAGCTGACAGGAACTCTCCCATAAGTTAGTTGTGTATCCATTCCTTCTTCCTTAATGTGTTTCTAAAACTAATAATCTGCATACTAACAGTAAAATGATTGTAGGTTGTAATCTAAAGATTTTCAACAACCAAGAGTTTGCTGCTCTTCTGTCCCAGTCCGTGAGTCAGGGTTTTGAAGCAGTCTACCAACTCACTAGGATGTGCACCATTAGAATGTCCTTTGTCAAAGGCTGGGGCGCAGAATACAGGTAAATCTAGATACAATTAAGGAATTTGCAAGTTTGATAAGCCAAACCATATTCCATAGGATTCAATTCTTCTCTTATTCAATAGATTAAAAGTTGGGGCGCCATCAAGATTCTTGTCAGTTGTCTATTGAGCCTGATGATGATTGGAGTTTACCATCAAAATCATTCACCACTTACTTTTATTTATATTTACCATCTTGTAATAAAACAGTGTAAATATGTGTTTTATAAGTGTTATAAGAAAAATGTTAATTTACTACCTGTTTTCAATAGCTTGGTAAATTTAACAATGTGTTTATCAAAAACTTTGTAAGCTATTTTTACCTACTAAAATACACATTTATACCAATTTTGAATTTTCTATATTGAAAAATGCCCAAGATATAAAATAATTCTAAAAAATCACAAACAGACCGACAAACAGAAATCTAGGCATTTTAGACCCATACTTATATTACATTTTATGTTTGTCTTAGCCCAAGGAACAAGTCCACAAAATATGTACAGACAATTTGGAAACACCCTGTATACAGGGTGAGTTTTAATTGTCCCCCCCCCCAACTTTTTTCTACATTTTTTTAAATATCAATCTCAGACCACTTCCAAACATTGTTGGGTAGTAAGTACTTCATTTTGACAAGGTGGTGATTTCCGGCCGCCATCTTGGATCCGCCATATTGGATGCAAAATTTTTTTTTCAAATGTAAAGGTGGGGTTGTGACCCATTATTTCAAACTACATTTTTACCCTGATTACAATGCCGCAAACTGTTTTAAAAAATATTGATTCATTCTAAAGTTATGAGGGACTTTTATTTATGAAATATTGCAATTTTTTTGTAAAAAATGTCAATATTTAAAAATAAAAAAATGAAAATGAAAAACGGATCATGGAATTAAGTTCAGCTTAAAAAAGTAGTTTGAAATGATGGGTCACAACACCCCCTTCATATTTAAAATAATTTATCACATTTCAAAATGGCGGATCCAAGATGGCGGCCGAAAAAAATACATCAGTCATAACCAAGTGAAAATAGGTCAACAATTACTGGTAGTGTATACTTACCTTTATCTAGCACTATTTTGAGATTATGGTCTTAGTTTGTACATGCACAATGTTAAAATGGGCTAAAAATAAAGTTTTAAAAAGCCCTCATAACTTTAGAATGAATCAAGATTTTTTTAAAAAGGTTGCGGCATTGTAATCAGGGTAAAAATGTAGTTCGAAATAATGGGTCACAACCCCACCTTTACATTTGAAAAAAAAATTTTGCATCCAATATGGCGGATCCAAGATGGCGGCCGGAAATGACCACCTTGTCAAAATGAAGTACTTACTACCCAACAATGTTTGGAAGTGGTCTGGGATTGATATTTGAAAATACCCCCGCCGCAGCAAACCTGCCGTCTAAGCGAATTTCCATTTGTCCGAATTGATTTCCAATTGATCTATTTAAATAACATTATTAGGTTTAACGAGTACCTAGGTTTGCTGCTACAAGGAAACTAATAAAGTAGTGTGTTTTTAGTAAAATATTGATAGCTTACTATAAAATAAATAAATTTGCCAACTTTGATCAAAATATATCCATAAACAAGCAAACTACAACATTTTACAATATTCTCCATAAGAATAACATGGGAATTTTAAATTTACCATTTTTTTTAGTTTTCTCCGTAACCAATAACCGTACAAAAACACTTGGATATACTGAATTGTTTGTTTTTTTAAGCTCTTTAAGAAGGTTTAGAGAAAAATTGGGAAATTTTGTGTTTTGAGGGTAAAAAGTGAGAAAAACCCATTTTTACCCCATAAAACCCCCCATAAAACCCTGTTCCCATGGTCCGATCATGCTGGATCGCGAACTCATTCAAGTTTATCCCGCCTTACACCTTCAAACCAAATGTCATCAAAATCGGATAAAAATTACTCAAGTTATCGTGTTCACGGACACATATATATATATATAAATCTATATATATACCTATATATATATATATATATATATATATATACATATATAAAAATTTGAACGAATGGTGTTTTTGGCCTCTGGGGACATTAAAATGAAAAAGTAAATCGGTCCCGGGCCTAAGTCTTACCATGAGACCTACGGTAATAGCTACTTCCCTATAGGGAAATTCGCTAAAATGTAGAAAAAAGTTGGGGGGGGGGACAATTAAAACTCACCCTGTATATATAAATATAATATATATATGAATTTGAATGGATCGGTCCCGGGTCCAGGTCTCACCATGAGTACTACGGTAATAGCTTATTCCCTATAGGTATTGGAAATTCGCCAAAATGGGGTCTATCAGTAAAAATATCTTTGTTATGATACTATTGTTCCGTGCATAGTTTATTTGTCGTTTTAAGTAGTTTGATGATTTTTTCATGTTTTAAGAGCCTTTTTACCATTTTTACATTTTTTTCAATATATTTAATGTGGAACCATATTTAAACATTAGTTTTTAAAAAATACTAAAAATAAAGGAGCTAATTAGAGTAAACCGGCATGATGTCACCTTAAACCTGCCTCCTACCAGGTCTGAGTTGGAGACCAAACACAATTAATTGTTCTTTGGGCTCGGACCAGCTCTTTTGAGCTCGGACTTGACTCGTGAACCCACCGAGACTAATGATTGAAAGCCGGGACTATGTGTAATTGGATTCGTGAGCACAACTTTTAAAACCAGGTTTTATCCCTGCACTTATTGTGTGGAGCCTATCAGTTTGATCCGCGGCTTTTTATAGTCTCTAGCTTGTGAACCCGATTTTTAAGTTGCCGCGCAAATACCGGTTATTTCTGGATTTTGGGCTCAGACTACGATAAACCCGAGCTCGTGAACCGCCTCTAAGGGACCCAGTACTGAATCCTGAAGTATACCCCATTTCAATGTTTTTTCTTGATGGATTTTTCCATTGGTAAAAACTATTTGCATACGGTTTTGTAAATAGAATGAGAAACAACTATGAAGTGAACCAGAAAACCGAAGATGATTTAATTTGTTTAAAAGAATATCAAAGCCAACACAGTCAAAAGCCTTACTCAGGTCACAAAAGGTGGCCTGAGCATAGGTTCTGGCTTCAAAAGACCGGAGGATTTCTCTTATTAGGTCGTCCAAAGAATTATATGTGGATAGACCTTTTCCAAAACCATATTGGGATGGGTTAAAGAGGTTATTTTGTTCAAAAAACTCGCTTACTTGCTCACACCCCAAAACTTGCATAATTGAATAATTGAAATTGGACAGAAACTTTCTGGTTATACTACTTAAAATACTACTTAAAACACACAAGACTCTGGTACAGTAGACTCCCTCTAATCTGAACTCCTCTGGATAACATGATGTCTGGTTAAACCGACATCTCCTCAAACTCGTTCAACTAAAGCACCCCATGGGAAACGGGAATCATTCACAAACTAACCCAATATTTTACTTAAATTTGGAAGAGCATTGCATTTAGTTGTGATCACTGGTCTCAAATCTTTTCCATGAGGAAAGTTGTTTCAATACCGCCCACTTCCTGGCGATCCAGTCCAGTCAAACCAATGTGCTGATAAAAGTTGTCGGGCTGAAGAGACATCACTTTTGCTGAGTGTAGTCAGGTTAAATTGATGTCCCATTACAAGGTGTCTGGATAAAGGAGTCTATTGTACTTCTAGTTACAGCACAGCAGGGGAGTGATCAAGTACACTCACAACTAAAAATTCCAAAGCATTGCTCAACTATTGTGTGTTGCTGCAGGAGGCAAACAGTTACGTCAACGCCTTGCTGGATAGAACTTCACCTCAACGGTCCACTACAGTGGCTAGACAGAGTTCTAACTCAGATGGGCTCACCGCGTCTGCCGTGCAGCTCCATGTCCTAATTTCGTAAGGTAAGAATAACAAGTTTACCTTAAGAATAAGAATTTCATCCTTCCAAGAATAATTGTATACTTAAGTCAAAATCAAACAAAAACAAGCTATAACGTGGGGTCGTACATAGCTACCAGTCACTCGCAGATCAAGTTAAGAAAACTACTCTTTGCTTGAACAACAATGTGCTAGTAAGTAAGATTTTGGAAAGTCTGGGATTCATTTAGGATATGAATGTTTTGATGGACCAAAACAGGCTTAAGTCAATGATTATTTGGCTTTTGATAAATGATCCTGGCCAAAGAAACAGCTGATTGTAGTCTCTAACAGATCTATTCAAGTCATCTCACTCCATTATACAATTATCCTGCATGCCAACAGACATCCTTAATGCCTCTGTTTTAGTGAAATTATTAAGTTTTAGTTTTCTTAATAGTGTTTGTAGATTTTAAATGTAATTTTTCTCAGTAAGTGCTATATTCAGGGCCTGATTAAGGGTCTAGTCGCCAGTAGGCTGACGTTTTTCTCGCCCCCTCCTCCCTTACACTACCCCTCCTCTCCGCTACCACTTTCAAAATTTCAAAGAACGAATACTAATACTGAATTCAAAATTAAAAATGGCCAAAGGCATTATACTAATACTCAGTTTATTTAAAGATTTTAAAAAAATTTTTTAAAAATTATCATAAATAATTAATGTATGGTTTGATTAGGAACTTTTAAAATAGTAACAAATCGGTTGTTCAAGGAATGTAAAACTTTTTTATTTAAAATAATGTATTTATTTTACATTTTATTAAACATATGATTGTATTAAATCAAAAATAGACCTAACCTAAAATATAAAAAAAAACCAAACAATAATATGCGTACTTTCTAAATTAACTCTGTTAATCACCTAGGCCTAAACCAATTTTATTAGGACCTTTAGATGGAATTACTTAGTTTACAGCATTTATCTGTATTTATCTGCAACAAAAAGTATCGTTAAATGTTTTTACAAATCAATTATTACTATAAACTAGCTGTAACCCACGGGCTTCACCCCGTTTGACTTCATGAGTATTAATAAAACTATTGATTGGTTAAGTTAAGCTGAGATAAACAAATAAGTACAGCTGAGGTATTTTTAACATTAGGTATATGGAAAGTTCCCTTTAGAAAGGAATTACGACCTTAAAGGGCAATTTATGAAATAATGGATAGTTTTGCGCAAGGTTTCTCGTCATTACGAATATTTTAAGTATATGGTTTATGGGGGTGTGACTTTTAGTTTTCTCAAAAGTTCATGGGTACTTTGGGCTTTATATATGGATATAATGATTATGAAAATCTGCCGAACCACGGCCGCCTTTAACTCCAGGCCGCGGCCTTCGAACTGGCAACGTCGCAAGTGGTGTTGTAACAGCTGATTTTTTTGGAAGCAACTAATGGTAATTGTGTATTTACGAAAGATTGATTACTGGACTATGACAATATTGACTCCGCTTTAAAATGTACAGATATAGATTTTAATTCATATTGTTTCAATTTTCAATTATGTATGTTTTATTTTTAATATTTTAATAAATTTATGTTCATAAATTAAAAATTAAATCAATAAAGTGCGAATTAATGAGCTGATGTCACCTGTCTGCAATGTTATCTTATGGGACGTCTGTCACTGAACAACACCACTTGCGATGTTGCCAATTCTACCAGGCCGCGGCCTGTAGTTAAAGGCGGCCGTGGCCGAACGCACCCTTCCCCACCTCCTTTCCTATCTGCGCGAATCCTTTTTTGGAATAAAACATTTTTTACGCCCCCGGTCCCAACTTTAAGTCTTAGCTGTCTGGCGCCCCCCTAAAACACTTGGCTGACTGGTGCCCTAGGCTCCAGCCTAATTAGCCTAATGGGTAATCAGGCCCTGGCTATATTTGAGTTACTTGCTGTCGTGTATCGACGTTGCAACTGCAGCCTTAGAAAGAACGATGGTTTTATGACTAATTATGCTGCACCTTTCAGGATGCTGTTCAGAAGCAGTAGCGGTCTGAAGTTTATCATGTGCCAATTTACTGATGTTAATCCAACCGAGACTGAAAAGCACAAACTGTATCTGCAAGTTAATTGATGCTAGACATTGTCTAAAACATAACTCAAAACTCATATCTGTAATATTTATGAATTTTAAACTTAAAATTCAAGTCAGTGTTTTAGGTACATAATTTTGAAAGTTAATGTCTGTGACATAGGTACATAATTATAAAAGTTACTGTCAGTGTTATATGTACATAATTTTAAAGTTACAGTCAGTGTTTTACGTACATAATTTTGAAATCAGTCAGTGATATAGATACATAATTTTGTTTGTTTTTACTTGTAGTATAAAAAGTCAGTTATTGACACTCGCTGTAGGGATAAGGTTTAACCTTGGTAGCGAGATAGAAGTTGAGAATTGTTTTATTTGAAAAAGATATTATTTTCTGGCAAAACTCGTGACTCACAGGAGAAAGACAATTTCCAAATAAGCAATAATCATGCAATTTAAAGCTTTAAACATGCATCTGCTCCATTCATCTGGATTGCCAATTATCCAGATAAGCTTTTTTAAGGGAATTAAATAAATCAACTCAGTTTGTAAAGTTAAGTCCATTGTAGTTTTTTTCCAGTTTGCTGTGATCAGTTACATATTTTCATGGATGCCAATTTTGTCCATCAACCTATTGTAGTTGTATTAATCGGTAGGTGATTAGTTATCTGCTTAGCGCCACTGACTTAGATACTTTTTCTTTAAAACTACTTTTTCTTTAAAACTCACATTATCTGGATTTTTGACGATCTGGATGGAATACGGATTCAGATGATTGAAGTTCTGCTGTATAATTGTTTGATGAAAATAATGTTGAGAAGGAAGGTGTCAAAAACTTTAAATGCACAATTAAAGTTTCTTCTTATATCTCTCTTCGTACAGACATAAACATAGACGGTCTGTCTATGGGAAATAAGAATTGCTATTCAACGGTTAGTGGTGCATCGAATGCACCTGGTAAATCTAAATGGGTTGTAAGTTTTAAGCTAATTTTGATTATTGATTGAGCTTAGTGTTTTATTGCAAAACTACTTGCCCTAAGTTTTTGCATCATGAGCTTGTATGAATAAAAATAAAAATATGATTGCATCGTGTCGGGAGCAGACTTGAACATATTCAGCCACCATGCTCTCAGGAATGCAAAGTTGTAAATAGTCTTTCTCCATGTAGCCTACTGACATTACTCTTCTATTAATTTGATATTTTTAAATTTTTTATAATTTTTTACAGAGTTTTGTTTATTTGCTGTGAAAGTCATATAAGGATTTTAAACATACATTGTACTATTCTTCCTCATACCTCAAAATTATGCAAAAAAGTCAAAATAATTTGAATAACAATAAAGAAGTTTCTCAAGACATATTTTGAGTTGATAGTTGAAGTTAATAGTCAGAAAATGTATAAATACCATACTGATGGATATTCCTCTCTCTATCTTTGTAAAATTTGTTTGCTTGAAAGTCTTACATCTTTCAAATTTTTTACTGTGTATATTAATATCTATGTAAATGAAAAGAAATCTTGAAATTGGGAAAACTGGCCTGGCAGGTTTCGCTATCAGATTTAAAGTGGATAAAAACATTGAATGTTTGTCAAATAGTACATACGGGTACTCGATTATGTACATAGAATATTGCAGAGCAGTTATTCTTATATGTATTGTGTTGTTTCATAACTTTGTGTTGAAAACTTTATATTGATATTAATTTTTTGTAATACAGGTTGTAAAAACCCTTGTGAGGAATGGCAGCTTAAATTTACATTTCTCAGTATAGTGTGTACGTAAAAAATAATTTCATATGTCAACCGAAGAATGACATATGAAATAGAAAGTTTTCCTAGTAGTAAACTTTTCAAATTGAATTGATTGATTCGATTGATACTTTAGTACTGCTTCCACAAGTGAAAGTAGAATTACTAAAAACTTTTTTACTTGATATCCGCTTGTTTTTATACACAAATAGCCATAAAAAAGTTCTTTATTTTTATAGTTAGACATTTGTATAGATTAGTTACGGTTTATTTTCTGCCTCACTGCCAAATCCGCATTGTGTTCTAGTTGTAATCAAATAAAATATGTACTAATATTTAGCATTTGGTAGTTTTTAAAATCCAAACATAAACGTCTTTAAATACTGTACTATGAATTTCCACACAGCTTTGCAGTTCAAACATTTCCCTCACTCAAAAGTTTAGCTTGGAGAGAACAAACATTTTGTATCTTAATTTGTTAGTTAGTGTTACCTAGTTATTATATTTTTATTGTAGCTAAATTAAACGAAAGGTTGTATTTTATTTCCCAAACAGTTCTGGTTTACAATAGTCCAACACCAATTTAGTTTTAAATTCAAAGAATTCGTCCTGTAGACTATATTGTTTTTCTATTAACTTATGGGGGTATCATACGCAAACAAATAATTTTTTATGATTTTTTATTTTTGGTTTCAAATTTAAGCCTGTTACTTCCTGAACAAAATGACACCTTATTTATGGTTCCAGCAATTTTGGTACCAGTTTTATATAAAAGCATGAATTATAACCTTAAAAAATTCAGGTTGAAAGCTCTAGCGGTTCATAAGCAAATGACATTAAGGTTGCTAATTTTACATTGTTACCATAGGGCGTATGATGCTCCCTTAAACAAATTTAATCACCAAGCTTTTACATATTTTCACATATTTTGTCACTTAGCTTTACTCATTTGAAGCTAGTAAAGAGCCAATTGCCTATATGCTAGGGAATACCTTATTTATTGATTTTTGCTTGTAAATTGATGGGAAAGAAAGAAGTATCTAAGTCAAATATTATCTTACAACAATATATACTGTATGTATATTATGTACTGTGATTAGATAATCTATATTGTATCGTTTAATCCTTATTTAGGCATGTTACTATAATTTAAACTAAATCGCATGGATGGGTTCTTTAAGATTATCTACCGGTCCTTGGACCTGGTAGATCTTTTATCTTAGGTGTCCATGAATGGTGAAAAAGTATACATAATAATCTTAATGGGCTATCCCAGAAGGGCGTTAAAAACATTTAAGTAAACAAAGTCAGAGAAACCTGAATTTTTTACTCTTTTTCAGAAACTAATTATGTTTAAAATGATGGAGACCTATACAGTGACCCTAAATTAAAATTGTGTATGCTAAGTCAACAATATTTTATTTAACTCCTTGGTAGTTTAAAGTGATCTTCATTTTAATTTTAAACAAGAACAGGAACAAGAAAATGTTCACTACAGTATAAGTTTTTAGTATAGATATTACATAATCCCATAAATTTGGTAACTTACATAATTCATAGGTCAAAAATATATTTGAAAGCACTTAATGGCAAAGACTTGACACTACAGTGCAATATTGGAATTAGTATTAATTATACTGCATCATAACAAACTTTGGAAAGGCTAAGTGTGATTCGGGTCGATAAAATGTAGTCCCTTTTTAGGTTTATTTGTTATGAGGATGGAAATATTTATTTCTATTGAACTTTACATAGGTGTGATGTTTGAAATTGATTGCTTTAATCCCTGTTAAATTTGTAATATTATTTATAGATCTTGAAGCATACATTCTTTTCACAGACGTGTGATCCTGGAGATTGGTCTGTTACGTTATTGGGTTGTTTGAATATTCTGTTTATTCCTAGATAGTTTTAAAGAGAATCATGCTTTAAATATTCATAAGGTAGATTATGAAAGGGTAAAACCTGTATGAAAAAGTTCCCCCTATTTTTGAGTAATGTTATAAAATTAACTGTTGAATGCTCAGAATGTTTCTGATGAAACAGTTGAAATGCTTTTGTAAACACCCTAGAATCCCTCCCATAAACTTAATTGTAAACTTTTATCAACGTACCTCGAGAATATATTTGTTCTCGGGCATTTTCAGAGCGTTCTGTATTTTCAATAGATAACTGTATATAATTTGTAATCAGTGTGGTGGCATTGTTTGTGAAAGAATAATTTTTTCATCGCTAATTGTTGGTTTTAGTTTTTCACCTGTATCCCCATTATAACATTATTATTGGTATTTCTTTGAACTCCATGGATTATGTATTGATTTAACTATCATGTTATAGTATAGATACAACATTTAAATTTAAAAACAAGTTTTTTATCTGGGCACACACGCAGTAAGGATAAAGTAAATTTAGCAAAATGCCTGATTTGAGGGCCAACTGACAATGTTTCTCGTAGTAAATGAGAATTAGAAGTTTTGGTGTAATTTGACCACTTTTCCGTCTTAAGCCATTTTAGGGAAGTTCCTCTCGACTTAAATGGCCAGCTCTGCTGGTTAGCTAAAAAACAAAAACAAAATCCTGAAAGAAAACAAAAATTATTACAAATGGACAATGGACATGTGTTCACAAAATTTTCGCTCAAGCAGAGTAAGGTAATAGAAAATGCCTGTAATAGTTCTCTAAATAACATAAACTCTCGCCATCATCGAAATTTAACTTCAAACAAAGGGCATTTGATTTTTTTATAAATTAACTCTAGAACTGCTTGATTGCTCATTTTACTTACATTAATGCTCATTAACTGATAGACTTACGTTAAACATGAATGTAAAGTTAAAGATGTTGCCTATCCTGGTAACTCTATCTTTTTTTTTTTTTTTTTTTTTTTGTTAGCGTTATTGAGTTCTTGTTTCATTATCTGTTGACTTGCAAATTCAAGGTTATTTATAAACAAATAAAAACTGTTCTACTAATATGAAATTTGCAACAAACGATACTTATTTTCAAAAAGTATAAAAAGTTCAAATAAACTTTATAACCTGAACTTAAAATACAATTTATGTTGTATTTTGTATATGACCCCTAAGAAATATACATAGCATGATAATTTTTTGTACAGTTTATAAAGAAGTTATAAATTAAGGTTGAGTCTTATTACTATACAAATAACATAATAATACTCACTGTTTCCTTCTGAAAAAATTACAGTATAAACGATATAGTATAATTTTTTTAAATAATATTTTTTTATTAATTTTTTAAATTAATGATGCAAACTGCAGTAAAATATGCTTGCATTTTAGCGAATCCAACTGGGGTTCCAGGGTTAAATTAAATATTCTGTTTCTGACTGCAGACCTTTAGCCACAGACTACAGAATATGTAATGCTTAATAATTTGTAAGGTTTACTCTATAGTCTGTGCTTTAGCATTGAATGATTATAATGTTTTCTAAACTTGTTATCATTCAATCCAGATTCAGTCTTTTCCCATTTATAATCTTTTACTCCATTAAAGTCTTTTAAATTTTTAAAATAAAAATGTTCAGCTAAGTTATGGAGTTTTTAACTGTTTCACCTTTGCCATATTCATATTTGTTTAGAGAAGCACTTTTAGTAGAACATTTATTTAGGCCTACATGATAATAATTCAAATGATGTTTAATAATAATTAATACTAATACATAGATCACGGAAAAATATTCAGGATGAAGTAGGTTCCCTAATAAGTTTAGAAAACGCTGCTATATACTGTTAAAATAAAGAGAATGTATTTAGTGCCTGCACAGAGAACCCAGGTTGCTCACTTTACGGTAGTGCCTGTAGTTCTTTAATACCTAGTGTTAAACACACATGTGCGCATGTAATATTCAAGATAGTGAAGGATTAAATAATCTTACTTTACTGGGAAGTATTAATTACATTGACTTAAACAATATTTTAATTAAAATTTTCTAATTTTTATTTATTTTAAAAACTATTTTAGCAATTTTTATAATAACAAGATGAAAAAGTGTGATTGGGCAAATTAATTAGGAAATAATACACAGTAGTTTGATTATCTTTAGCTCAAATTTTAATGTTATAAGGCTTGCCAGGTTATATATTCGTTAGGACTACAGAGTTTTTAACTTAAATTGGAAAACTCAAAATAATTTATTTTTATTTTTAAATTTTCTTTACCCAGACGATTTGCGAACTAGTAACCCGCCCTAGATCCTAATTACATAGGCGTACTTCATTATTCGACTTAAAACAACCTTTTTATTTAGAATGTCTCGATAAGAAGATCCTCGATAACAAGTGTCATTTTTAAATCCCCTAGAATTAATTTTACCCCTAATTACATGCCATTGCAAACCGCAATAAGAAGACAACCTTGATAACAAGTCTTATTTTATAATCCCAATGAGAGTCTTGTTATCAAGGTTCTACTGTATATGTTCATTTGATATTTACCATTTCTAGTAGTTTGGACGAATAAGTACCTATGTCTGATTAATTGGTTGAACGTGTTATAAAAATAGTTCCAAGCAATAAACAATAGGTTTGGAATTGTATTACTGTGTTACTTACATACAAAATACTATTCCAATAATTTAGATTTTTCAAGATAAATTCTCGTGGTTTTCACGGACTAACGATTGCATACAAAATTATGTAAGTCAATATAAGTTGTTTTCTAATGAATCAATAAGAAAAGCAGTTCTCTTCAAATATGCCGCACTTTAAACTTAGAAGTGCACTAAATGGTGTAAGTGGACATTTATATACTTCAATTCGATGACAACGACCTACTATAAATTTACAGGAAAACTTTCTTTTTTTGAAACTTAAAAAATAGAAAAGGGGAAACATTGTTTTGGATCAGATCTTGAATTTTGAGATTTAATATGAGGTTAAGCAATATCTAGTGAAAACGTTTATTTACTAACAACGATGTTCCTGTAAAAGGTATAATGAACATCTGATTTTCCCATGCTCCCAATCCAATCAGTTCTGTCTCCATTATACAGTTCCACTATACAGTTTATTTATATTATTAAAATCAGCTGTTTTTATTGTTCAATAATAGAAAGGTGAACAGAATTAGTATATTACGTTTTGAAGTCCTGAAAATAGGTGTTTACCGGACGAGTGTGGTCGTTCCCGTGCGAGACGAAGTCGAGTACGGGATTACCATACGAGTCCGGTAAACACATTTTGGACGAGTGACGTACGATATTTTACGCCTTACTACTAAATCCGTACAAATCCTTATATATTATCACCGACTAAAGGACTATAACAATCACTAGTCATTTATGTTTTTGTTTATAACCACTCATTGCCACCTAAATACAGTATAATCGGCTGATTGGTGTCCGGTAAAACTCATTGCAGTACAGTAGTACGCAATGAAACCCCGTTTGAATAAGCTGGCGGCAAACAGCTGTTTTCTGGACTAAATCCTTGCGTGGGAAGTTCGTCAAAATAATGTAGTGTGGCGTAATAGTATATTACGTTACTAGTCCTGATAATAAGTGTTTACCGGACGAGTGTGGTCGTTCCCGTGCGAGACGAAGTCGAGTACGGGATTACCATACGAGTCCGGTACACACATTTTGGACGAGTTACGTACGATAGTTTACGCCATACTAATAAATCTGTACAAATCCTTATATATTTCCACCAACTAAAGGTCTACAAATTACTAGTCATAACCTCTAAGAGAGGTTATGTTTTTGTTTATAACCATTCATTGCCACCTAAATACAGTATAATCAGCTGATTGGTGTCCGGTAAAACTCATTGTAGTACAGTAGTACGCAATGAAACCCCATTTGAATAAGCTGGCGGCAAACAGCTGTTTTCTGGACTAAATCCTTGCGTGGGAAGTTCGTCAAAATAATGTAGTGCGGCGTAAAACATAAGAAGTTGTCAACTCTTTAAACTGTGCTCACAAATGAAACTTGAGCGCGCACTGGAAAATGCCACTTTCGGTACAAGTAATTAAATACTATTCTTTTTGAAGATACTTTTAGAACCCCTCCCAGTTCCAATAAGGTTCGAAGTTTTTAATGTAGTCTTATAGTATGTTTTCTTGGTTATCACAACTATTTGTTCTACAGTTTTTAAATCACGGGATAGTAGAACATTCACTCTAACATTTTAGGCTCAATGTTTTGTGAATCCTTCATTTTTGTCATGTTTTTGTCATTTTTCATACCATCATATTGTTGTACACCATATCTTTCAATTACTCTAGATTATAGCTTGGGAAAATTGCTTCTTTGGTATAAGCTGTTATTGAAATAGCTACTTTCGTACGTGGTGATGAAAAGCACTTTTTTCAAAGGAGATTGTAATTTACTGATCTTACCCTTGTATTTTCCATTAAAAGTTACACGAAACATTTTCAGACCTTTTAAATAGCGAATGAGGAAAACAATGGTTTCGTCACCACTATGGCCCAGTGACTACTTTTTGTCGATATTATGTCAGCTCTCCAGTTGGGCGAGATTTCGAATTCGAAGGCCGGTGTTTAAGTAGGATGGCCTTTATGTCTGCTTAAAAGCTAATGTGTGTAAGTTTAACTGAACATTGTCGAATTTTGTATAGTGTGTACTCATAGTTTTTTTTCTTACTCTATTATTATCAATAATATTTTGAGAACATCTTCACCCAGCGGGTATGCAAGATGAGTCAAAAATGGAATGAGATTGTTTATTAAACTCAAACTACAACAGTTGAATTAATCTCCAAAACATTTACATTGGAATTTTAATTTTACCGTTTTTTCCGTAACCATCTAGCGCATGATAAGGGCTCAATAGTACTAAATTGTATTTTTTAAGGTCTGAATAATAGCTTAAAAAGAAATTCCAAAATTTCATATTTTGAGGATAGATCGGAAAACCAATTTTTACCCCATAAAACCCTCTAGAACGATTTCCATAAAACATGTGTATAGGGGTAGGCTTACAATTAAACAAGGCTTTGGAGTGCAAGACATTAAAACTGGCTAATGGTACTCAGTTTGTTTGCTGTTTTGTCTGAAGAAAACATACTCCTAATTCGTTAAATTAATACTGATTGCTAAAACTGATTGTTTCTTAGAATGATTAATGAGTTTTACACTTTGCTATTTAATACAAGCTATACAGCTAGGAATCTGGTAGGCATCAATAATGTAAAGCGTGGCTTTAAGAGCCCCTCCCCCCCCCCCCAAAAAAGTAATTGGTAGTTGTTGTAAATTAACTAAATATCTTTGAAAATAGGCGCGTGCATAATTCTATATGCAGTTTCATCATGGAAATTACATTAAAAACCCAACAAGTGAAACCTTTTTCCAATTATACTCTTATATTATGTTATAGTCCTTAAAGGTTTGAACGTTTATTTTTCATTTTTTGAAATTTAGATTTTTAATAGGGATTTTCCTATAAAACCCCATAAAATAACAGAAAAATCGGATTTTCTCGAAAATAACCCAAACGATTTTCTAAAAAAAATGAGTATGTTATAGTCCTTTAACTTCTGAACAAAATGGTACAAATCCCATTGCCGTAAAAATTACGGTTCAAAAGTTATTGTAACTTATGTTATTTTCCAATAAAAACCCATATAACACCAAAAAAATTGGATTTTTGGAGAAAATCTGGTTTTGATCAAAATTAATGGTCCTTATAATTCTAAAAAAATAGTACAACACCCCATTGCTGTAACAATTAAGGTTCAAAAGTTATTGCAACTTTTTCTCACCGCTTAACCACGATAAAGGTTGTTGACGAGCTTATGGGAGAAAGTATCAGAATGCTGATACCGTTTATTACCCTAGTTTCAATTTTGTTGATTTGGTACGTGCAAAAGCGTTACTAATAATGAAAATACAAATTACTACATACAAGTGTTGTGGAGAAAATTCTTGGTTTTACTTAGTCGTTAACACGATAACTTGAGTAATTTTGGCCCGATTTTGATGAAATTTTTCATGAACGGCTGGATACACTTGAATGAGTTTGCAAACCATCAAGAGTGTGTAATGGAAACTGAGTTTTATAGAATTTTTAAATCTTTCAAAATTTGGTCTTTTAAAATGTTTACACTTGAACGAAGGAAATGACCAGTTTTAATCTAATCCATAATACTGAGCTCTAAATCAAATATTTTTGTACATTGATGCGTTGATGTAAAATTAAAAAGAAAGATTAAGAAGAAAATTCAATTAAAAAACTATGCGTTTAAAATTCCTATGTTATTTTTATTGGTAAAATGTAAACTGTTTGGTTTGCTTTTTTATGGAAATTTGTTCATAATATTTGACAAATCTATTTATTTCATCCTATAATATTAACATTATATAAAAACAAACACTTTTTTCACCTCCATAGCATAAATATTACTTGTTTATGGAAATATTTTATTAAAATTCCAATCAGAATAATTTATTGAAATTCACTTAGTCTACATGTTTACTGCGTCGGGGTATTTTATTTATAAACAACAAATCTGTTAGAACTAGACATTGGGTGACCCAACAATTTGCAGGATTTGCTGTTGGAGTCAATATTAATTACCAAAATTGCGTAGTACAAATATCTAAAGGGACGTTCTGGTCTGATAGCCGCTATAGATTGGCTCGACCTCGACCGCGATTAAGTCATACGCGTGCGCCAAGTTCAAGAATACCATTGGCGATGGATGCGCAGCGAAAGTGGCAAGTCAGTGTCGGTGACCTATATTGCGCAAGTCTGTTCCACGCGCAACTCCCCTCCACGCGTGTTAACCTGGGTTTTACCGACTTCTGAATTTCATTCGTTTTTGAGTGAAGAACCTCCGAAGACCTTGCATTCTGCGCCTCCTCCACGTGTGCAGACCCAGGTGAATACCCTCGTCCTGTGTTGGTCAAAGTGCAGACCTTCTGGTCTGGGGGTTCAGGTTCAAGTCCCACCAATCACCAATGGATTTGGGCTATGTAGTGGCATGATCCGGTACTTTCGGGTTGACATTAGACTGGCCCACCTAACTAGAAAACGAAAAGAAATTATCAAACTTTATCTGTTTTTGGGAACTTATTTTAACCTCCGTCCAGGCCTCCTTTACAGTTACAGCAGATGTTATATGAACAGACAGTGGAAGCATTGATGAGAAAAATTCCCCCGCAGCAGAAAACCTGTATTCTACGCAAATTTCCATTTGTCTGATTGGATTTCAAATAAAATATTTCCTTGAACATGTCATATGTATACTATTTTTAAATTAATTAATGTTTAATGAATACTTAGGTGTGCTGCTTCAGGAAGGAAAAAGTGTTTTTTTATATAAAACGTTGATAACATAGTATGATATAAATACATTTAATCAAACTATATATATATCAACAAGCAAAAAATACTACAGTTTTTCTCTTAAATGTTTTCTCTATAGGAAATTTTAAATGCACGTTTTTTTAAAACTTTTCGCCGTAACCCTTAATTTTGTACAACGATGCTTAAATATAAACAAAGTGGGCTTCCTTGCACTGATTATAGCACGCAAAGTAGCGAATTGCTGGATTTACTTTCTTTTGTCGCACTTATTTTCTTTTGTTTACTCATTTTTTTGGTACACTCCAGTATTTTAACCAAACAACACAAAACAGTGTGCTTTTGTTAGGCACGTAATACTTGTACGCTTGAAAATAAGCTGGGAAAGATATTACGACTACGATCAGCTGGTATGCAGCTATTCCAATTTCGTCCCACGCTTGGATTTAATCTAACCTAAAAACGTGTTGTATAGTGTTTGAAATACTAATTATCTATATTATTTATAGTAACTGTAGGAAAAATATAATGTGTATGCAAGTGCAAAGTGCCACTTCGCACACTATTTATACAAATAAATATTTCTAAACAATATCATCAGCCCAAATATATTATGCCAGAAAAATAAGAGGTTATTTTGTTTACTGTACCACAACCTGTGAGCGGTTCATTCTGCTATGTTCTATGAGAATTTTGCCACAGCAGGATCATATAGATGGTCTATCAAAGTTTATATCATATACTATTAGACAAAATTACAATGTTTTTTATCATCCTTTGCAATAGGATGAATTGCAAAGGACTGTTCGAATTTTTAATGAACCAATCAGAAATTAAAAAAGACAACATGTTCAAAATCCTTAAACGTGGAGTAGGCCTGCATTAATATATTCTTTATTTTTTTCTACGTACTCTCATTGCAAAATGTTTTTTCTCATTTATAAATTTGTTTGATGACAATATTTTTTTCAGCATCAAAAATCACGAGTTTGAAAATTTACAAAATGTAAAATAAACGCCAGAACTTCATTAAACTTTCATACAACATAGAGACATACATTAGAAATTAATTTATATGCTTTAACGAATTTTTACCTCACCCAAAAGTTGTTGTTAATTCTGTAATTGTCTTTTGAGAAAAACTGAAAACATAAATAAATATTAAAGCTTGTTTTAAAGGTAATAATAGTAATTTTATTTCAGTGAAAAATTTACTACAGCTGGTTTACAGAAATCCCCATACACTGGCATGAAAAATTGTATATTTAAATTAAAACTTTAGAATATTTATGATTAATTTGTTGTGGTGTATATTTATTATTTAATCAGTTGTTTCCCCTTCAAGATTGGTTTCAAAACACAACAACACTTAAAACCATTAAACATAGCTTTCTAAACATTATCTTGAACTCAAGTATATATCTTACAGAATAATAATATACTGTATAATTATAGTTATCATCGCACACCTAGGTGCGGGTTTTATACCAAATTTTAATGCAATGCGAGTGTAAAATTGAGTAATATTATCTACGTTGTTACTGACTAAGGTCAGCCATTTATTGAACCAGGACCATTTATTTAAAGCCAGATCAAGGGCAGCTGGGTCCAGTTTCGAACCATCAAAAATCTATTGACTCAGGATCGAACCGGTAACTTTTTGACTGTCAGGCAAGCACTAGTCGATGTCTACTTGTTATCAATGACAGTAAGTGAGAGACTAGTGGCATGGAGGGGGGTCCTGAGTGAGCCAGTGAGTCACACGCTATCAGTCCTTCAGTCTATCAGTCTATCAGTAGGACGATGGGGTCGCGATGGTGCTTGTTGGTGGCGGTTCTATGCCTCAATGGAAGTTTAGCGCAAAACTCGTCCACCACATACAGTAAGTACTATGATTTAATTTTTCAATCAAAATATATAAGGGCTATCGTGATTTTCTTTACAGAAAAATTTTGGTGGGTTCGAGCTTTTTGAAATTATTTTTAGTTTTATTTAGCGCAAAACTCGTCCACCTCATACAGTAAGTTCCCAGGTTTATTTTGTTTAATTAAAATATATTACGGACTATGCGTGATTTAGCGCACGAAAACGTGGTCTCAACTGGGAACTAGTGGGCTCAAGCTTTTCAAAAGTATTTTTATTTTTATTTTACGCAAAAATAGTTTTTTTTCTTTTAAAATAATTTTTTCATGAATAGATTCCCTTAAAATGAAATGTCTTCTAAGAACGTACAGTGAGTTCAGGCCTTCCAAAAATGGTTTTAGTTTTACTGATTAAATATATAGATACCGGCAGATATGTCTAATATATCGAATAGTTTTAATATAGAGATAGTGGAATTCGACAACCAGTTCATGTTACAACAGCTGTTTAATATTTACAAACAAAATTATTAACGATATCCCTTTCTGAATGTGTGATAGACATAACGGAACGTTAAGCTTTATTCACAATCATGTTGCATCAAAATCTTTTTTTGATTAATCGGAAATAGAGGCTACTAACCTTTCATTATTACAATGGCATTAATACTACTGCAGTTTCGGAAGAATAAAGTTCCATAATCAGGTAGCATTTCAGAATTTATTCGTGTTTTATATATTTATATATATTTACGATTCTGACTCACCTAAATACTTATTCACTATTGTTGAGGCGTTTGCAGTTTTTAAATTTACAACCCGATAATAAGGCGAGTTTTATGTAAATCATGCCGACTTTGATGAAAGGAACTATAACATAGAGAACATCATTGGGTGACTTGGAAGGCCGGAGGAAAGGATGTCGTTGAACTTATGTTTAGGCACAAGGTGTTTATAAACATCAATGCCATTTAGAAAAAATATGAATACATCACAGAGTACATAAACTAACCTCATTTTTCTATGGGATATTTTTTTATTCAACCAGCTGTTAGTTATAACCTAGGAGGATTAAACATTAGTTATAACAAATTATGTTGCACTAAAAAAAAACTAAATATTTTGAAGACTGATCAAAAAATAAATTAGAACATCTAGTATTTTACAATTTATATTTAAATAAACTCCCCAGTTCTCAAGCTTATCTTTCTTTCAACAAAAAATCCATGAGTATCCGTCGAGTGGTTGATTCAGAATCGTGAAATAAAAAAGCCCTGTCGCGTTTTAATATGTATGATTACATCAACAGTTACCGTAGCATCATAAGTTGTGGTTATCTCTTAAAATTGCCATTCGATAACGTACTGTCTTTTACCAATTCACATTCTTGCATACAATAGTCTTGAATTGTAGCTTTAAAAACGTAAGTTATATATCCTTTTGTCTGTTTAGGTGGACTTATTTTAGTTTGCCCGCCAAAGAGTATTTTCAAAATGTTGCCTTAAAACCCAAAGTTTAAAATAAAAGGCCAAAAAATAATATTGGAGGTTACCTTTTGGAGTTTAGGGATCGGATTATTGGAGTGTCAACAAATTCTGATAACGTTCGCAGAACAATAATTAAAGTCATTAAAATCATTAAGTGGTGTAAAAATAAAATAAAAAATAACGCATTTGATTAAATTTAAACATTTTAAAATTAAAATCATTAACAGCTGGATAAAAAACATTTTTTTTAAGAAACAACAGTTGACTAATAAGCAATACAAATAACTAAAAAATAGTCCAATTATTAGTTAGGTATTTCGTTAGAATGAGTAGAGGTAGATTTACAAAATACTTACTATTTGGTAAAAATATATAAGGCCCTACCTATTTTAAGACTTAGTAGGTATTAAAGTAAAGCCCCGTATATATTAACAAATTACTAGAGATATAATTCAAAAAATGAAATAAACATAAGGTAAACATCGAAAATCAACCAATAATACTCCTACAAATTTGCACAGTCTTCACAAATGAAGTGTACTTAACTTATAATCAACAGGCTATTGATATAAACATAGTTAAAAATTACCAATATCGATTACATTTCTGAATTAATTTTTATAAGTATAGATTTTAAAACTGACCGAAATAGCCACTGTTCAAGGTCCTTGACGACCAATTCAAGACACAGACATCGATAGTATGTTATCTATGGCTGGATTTGACCCTTGTCAAAAATATGATCGCTACGCTTAATTTGTGTATCCCTCAGGCCTAATGTTGATGTAGGAAACGTATATATTAAGAAAAAATACTTACTAGCTACTACTACTACTAACTACTTACTAACTTACGAAACAATATTGTTTTTTCATAAAAAAAATTCTTTAATTACTAATATTTTTATGTAGTCAAAGTGTGGACCACCGAACACGAGGCTCTGCCCCTATCAGAGTTACCTTTTGTAAAATCAATAAATACGTCTAAAGAACATAAAATTTTTAGTTAGTCAACAAACATTGATTTCTTACGGTTCGATAATCTGTCGCTACATTATTGTACATTGCCCATAAGAAAACCGGTTGGATAACATGTTTGTCCATCGTAATGTATTTACCAAAAAACAAACTAGCTATAGAGTTGAGATTGAGATAACAACGCCCATTGTGTCAAAATAACTACATTCCTCGACAAATTGTCGACTTCCGAAGTAGTGTAGCGAAGGAGTTCCGCGGCGGCAAGGACACCGGTCAGTGGTCAGCGGTCAACGCAGGTCAAAGAGATGTAATATCCTAGAACCAGTTAAAGGTATGTAAGATCAGCGAAGCTGCCAGAGATCAGGTGCCCACGAGATGCAATATTAGGAAAACGTAAAGTTGTTTGATATCAGTGAACGTACCAAAGAGATTGTATATTGGGGAAACCTGTCAAATAGATAAAGTATCATACAATCCGTCAAAGATATTATACAGTGTAAATTAAGTATTGAAACAAATCTGTATTTTTAAAACGGAAATAGATAGAAATTTTCTGTGGCAATAATTGTTAACAAAGGTTCCGCGATTTTTTACACCAAAAATATTTTTACCCCCCCCCCCCTAACAGCGTAGGGGGTAGGGGGTGACTTATTTTTTTCAAATAGTAACCCCTATTGAGTGATAGTAACCCCTCATTTTGAAGGGTTTGTCAAAAGAAACACAATCCGAGGTGGATATCTCACCCCTAGCCAAAATGGCGGGCATTCCAAAATGGGTGCTTTTTCGCATAAATTAAATTTTGGAATACCCACCATTTAAGCTAGAGGTGAGATATCTACCTCAGGTTTGCGTCATTGTTTTTCTTTTAACAACCCCTTCAAAATGAGGGGTCACTCAATAGGGGTTGTTATTAAAAATATAAGTCACCCCCACCCCTACCTTGTTAAAGGGGTTGAAAACATATTGTTGATGTAAAAAATTGCGGAACCTATGTTAACAATCAATTCCACAAACAGAATATTTCTATCTATTTCGGTTTCAAAAATACATAATTGTTTCCATTGTTTGTGAAATTGGTGCTTTTTCACATAGGCCTACAGTAAATCAAATTTTGGAATACCTGCCATTTTTGCTAGGGGTGAGATATCCACATCGAATTTACGTCATTGTGTTTCTTTTGACAAATCCTTCAACATGAGGGGTCATTCAATAGGGGTTCCTATTTGAAACAAATAAGTCACCCCCTACCCCCACCCTGTTAGGGGGGAGGAAAAATATTTTTGATGTAAAAAATTGCGGAACCTTTGTTAACAATTTTTGCCACAAACAGAATATTTCTATCTATTTCGGTTTTAAAAATACAGATTTGTTTCAATGCTTAATTTACACACTGTATATCAAAAGGAAACCAGTCAAACATATGCAATATGAGGAAACATGTGAAAGGTATTCCAATTTTCCCCGAGGGAGGACCCTATTTCATTGGCAAGTCTTCTATAAGGGCAAGTGTTTTCTAACTTTAATCCTGCATGCCTAAAAAACAAGTATGGTGTGCAATATGGGAAAACCTGTCTAAGAGATCAATAGTCAACATATTTCAAGTTTCGTGTTTTTTTTTCAGTTTCAATATATAACCATGCCGGTTGAAACTAATTGATCAACATCGAAGGAATGCTATTTAAAACCCATCAAATTGAATTAATATTACTTTGAAACTCAATGAGGATCAGGTAGAATTTTTATGTTCTATACCTAAAAGAATTACCTTCCGATTTTAGCCACTTAAGGTCAAGTTTCCTCACGAAGTGTCATTTACCTTAGGTTTTTCCTGGATATTAATTGTTTTCCAATTAACATAAGTAGTTAATCAAACTGCAAAAGGCCACAGGGGTTGGAACACTGTTTAGTTGGTAATTCTAAATTTTAATCCAAAACATTTTACGTTGGTAAAATTTTGTCTCTATTTTCCACCAAATAGCTTAGCTTAACAGTTGAACAAAAAAGAAAATTGTAAAAATGTGTAAAAAATGTAAAAGGTAAAAATGTAAAAATGTGTAAGGGGGTTTTGAAGGTTCCAGGGCAGACTGAAAAAGAACCAAGTAAATAACAGTTGGAACTTGGTCATAAAATATTTTATAACGTGAAATTTCGAATACCCTATTGCATTTAAATTGTTATATGGTGGATCCATAAACTCTTTGATGTAATTGATTATTCCTGATCATACGGAGTATTTAAAAATTACACCAACTCGCTACAGTAAATTGCTCTTGTGATATGATTGTAACTCAAGTTAGTTAAATATCAGTGCTATAATCATTTCAACTAAGTTACAACATTTCCAACATATTTTTAAATTCTGTTTACGTATTAAACGACTACTTAATTATTTAAATTGAAATACAATTAAGATGAAGATTCTTTACTCGGTTGTAAGACCCTGTAAATAATACATTGCACGAGTGGTCAAAGTGCATACATCTCTAAATCCTCAAATAAATGTGAATCTTCGATCGTTAAATCATCTGGAAAGAAACGTTAAACAACTAGATCACA